GTTCTTGGGTTTTCTGGGGTTCTTGGGTTCTCTGGGGTTCTTGGGTTCTCTGGAGTTCTGGGGTTCTCTGGGATTCTGGGGTTCTCAGGGGGTCCTGGGATTTTCTGGGTTTCTGGGGTTCTCTGGAGTTTCTGGGGTTCTCTGGGTTTCTGGGGTTCTCTGGGATGCTGGGGTTCTCTGGGGTTCCAGGTAAAGTCCATGGATAGTTAAAATCTCAGGGGTGGTTTCAGGTGGGTCCAATAGGTCCAAGGGTTGAATAACAGGAGAGTGTACCAGGTGGTGGGTGTCAGGGTGGTGGTTCTTGATATCTTCCCCAGTAGAGGCAGAACCTCTATCTTCTACTGAGTCTGCTTGCCATCTCCCTGCTGCTTGGTCTTCAAGGGGCATAGGGGGGCAATATGGCCTGGTTTTCTGCACCTGAAACAGGCTCCCTTCTTTCTGAGCTCAGTCTTCTCAGCCTCAGTGAGTTTGGAGAGAGGCTTCCCAGAGTTGGTGGATATACTATCTATCTCCATAGGGACTACTCCAGAGTTCTCAGCCTTGGGGGAGTAGTAGCTGGTGGCCTGGCTTCTTTTGACATCCCAGCATGATCTCACATGATTTATAGATCATACAGCGTGGTTTAAGCCTGAATCTCAACAACTGGTGAGGTTGAGCTCCAGTTGTTCCTGAACCCTGGGTTTAAGCCCTCTGATAAACTTGTCTAACTTTTCAGCTTCTGACAAGTCATCCACCTGAAGGCATAAAGTATTGAACTGGTTTAGGTACTCCTTTACTGAGCCTTTGTAACGGATTTTTTGTTGGTAGACTACGGTAAAGACAACTTGGGTCTCCTAGCAGGTTGTGTGGGTGTCCGTACTAGGAATCATAGTCTCCAAATCCTTTCTTTGGGCGTCGGTAGCGACTTGAGGGCGAGAGGCAAGGAGAGTCGGTTAGTTGTGAACCGAGCAGGATTTAGAGGCTTCAGTGCGGGTGATCAGGCCATTGAAGCGCTCTGTTAGGTTCCTGTTAACCTAGGATTGGGGTTGAGAAGCTAGTTGTGGGGATTTTTTGTCGCTACGGCTTCTGGCCGCCGACTTATTTTATTGAATTCCTCTTTTTATACAAGAATATGCTACGGTAACGTCTACACTAGTTTCCGTAGCCTTCATTAGGGTGGCGGCGTCCGATCTTCCCATCTCGGACCATCGCCATGATCGATCATGGCTGCGTAACGTATCCTTCACACTGTGCTGGTGTAGCCCAGAACCGAGCTTGATCTTAGGGGTTTCGAAGCTTAGGTTACAATTGCGGAAACCTCAATTGTGGTCACCTGATGCCTTTGAGCGAACCGGTTTATCAGAGTCGTTCGCTACACCTTGTTGTTTGAGCCTGGCCAACTGGTCTCTTGCTGCTCTGGTGGCATTTGCTGGGAGGAAGTTCTCTTGAAGGGCTCTCTTGAACTGGTCCCAAGACTGGATTCTGAGAGGGGATCCTACTGGGTGGTTCTTGACATGGCTTTGCCACCAGACTTCAGCATGGAGTTCCAAGTAGGTGGTGACTGCAGCTTGCCCCAAGTGCAAAGCTATTGGATGCCTGAAGAAAGATGGACATGCACATGGCCACCTGAGGCTAGCATGCTCTAGCTGCAAGAAGACCTGCTATGTGGATAGCATCCTCCACCCCATAGCCACCACCCCCAAGGCAGCCCAGATCCTTAATCTCTCAGCAAGGCCCCAAGCTACCCCCTAGGCTCCAAAGTTTGGCTATCTAGAGAAGGCATCACCCCAGGAGAAGAAGCCCAGAGACCAGCTCAGAAATTTTTTCACCCCTGGCTTGGACCTTACAGAATCAAGGCCAAGGATGAATTTCAGAACTACACCCTTGAGCTCCCCAGCACCATGAAGATCCACCCAGTGTTCCATGTGAGCCTTCTTAAGTGTGACAGAATTCTTCTGTCAGTGCTATAGTTATACTGGTTAGGTGTGGTTCCAAACTAGTGGTCACATGACTTTGCTGATGGTGTCAGCATTCATTTGACCAGAATTAGATAAATAAGCAGATTTAGCCATTTCTGGCTAAATTAGATGAGTATTCTGACACACTGGCATCTGCTCCTTTCAATCAAGTGGCACAATGTATTTAGGATAACTTGTCTTACTTGTGATTGGCTATAAATGGTGCAATAGGCTGACAAATAGTTTAGGATGACATGCATGAGTTCTGATTGGGTGCAAATGGTGCAATAGGCTGACAAATAGTTTAGGATGATGTGGGTGAGATCTGATTGGGTAGTTAGGATATAGCATTTGTCAGCCCCTTTTGTCTATAAAAAGAGGACCTCTCTGAGGCCCCTCAAAGAAAAATAACAAGTAGTAACCAAGTCTTCCCTAGTTTTCTGTTGTCTTCATGTCCCTGCTAGCCTGTTACAACATGCTCGCATCAACTAGTCCATGACATCCCTAGGCATCTAATATCACTACAGATTTCTCTTGTGGTGGTGGGCTCAGTTACCTGATTGACCTACCATGACATTATTGCATGTGTAATTGGGCCTAGTAGTAGTTATTTACTTGTAAGGAGTTAGCTAGTTAGCTTTTCTGAACTGGTTGTCACCAGTTAATTCCCTGGTGTGTGAGGCACTGACATTTGTTTTTGCCAATACAGTACAGTATGTGGGCATTTATGACAATCACATGTGACTGCATGTGAACTGGTTGGTGGACTGCTATTGAATGGAATTGATTTGGTTCATGTGCAGTCACATGGGATCATCATAAACACCCACATACTGTATGGGCAGTGTGATATCACATGTGTCATGTCAGCATCCCATTGTACAGTACACATTTTACCCAGCATTACTGAATGCTAGACTACCACGTGATACACGTGATATCGCACACTAATCTGCTTTTGCTGTACACTAATCGGCATCTGATCATGTGGAATCATTGCAAGAGTGGCACAGCCATATCATCGTTCTGATTCGAGGCGATTCGCGCCGATTCGAAGTGATTGCAAAAGTTGGCACAGTTACGATAAATGGGGAAGCTTTGCTCATAGGATTGCGATTACAGCTGGCTAAACGCTCTCCTCTCTGCGGTTACACTTGTTGCTTCGTGGGCGTTCATTGCCCTCCATCTGTCGGTCTCTTGCAAGCCGCAACGTGAGGGCTTCTTGCCCAATGCATCCAGATTATCCACTGGTTTCTCTTTTCCTAGTGTTGTTGGATTATCCCACGACTTCGTCCAGGAACGTCGTCCTCAGCCAGCTTGCATTTCTTTGCTCGCAGGCTCTCTTGTTCCCAGGGGCGCTGACGTTCACTGAGCTGCACCAGGTAGTAGTAGCTGTCCGTGTACCATTTCGCTGTTGCATTTATCGCCCGCCTCCTAGTTTTTGCGATCGCAAGCGGGCTCGTTGAGTTTCGTTTCGGTAGGGTTCCCTCTCCTGAATACGTCGTCCAGTGATCCGTATTGTTGGAAGCCCATCAACGTTAAATCGTCCTCTGCTCCAACTACTTGGCGAACTCTCCTTGAGACCTCTGATCTCAGTGTAGTTCAGCGATTTGTAGTTGCGGCCACTCTGCTTATTGCGGACGAGCGCGAAGCTGTCGATTGTAGGCTTATTCTTTTGCTCATATGTTCTCAGAGCATGCTACTAACTGAGTCTGAAAACCTTTTTTTTCTTGGCCCGCCATAGCAGCGTCGCCTGTGACATCGTCCATTCCTGACCTTGCCGTAGGAGCCGTTGATCATCTGAAACGACAAGGCGTGGACGGAATCGATCGACAATTAGTGCTCCGCAGTTTGACAATCCTTCATCGTCTTGGGCACATTGAGAATATCGCGAGCAGCTTGGACCTGTCGGTCGCATCGAGCAGTTTCAAGTCAGACAACCGCCTTCCATTACCAGACCCAAGGTAAGTAAGGCAGCGGTGAGCGATTGCGGGCATGTATCTTAGCGGATCCCTTATTTCAGCATGGATCCTACGGAGGAATCTCTCGCTCATCAAGTCAGTGCCGGGATATCGTTGGCAGAGCTGATGGAGGAACTTGGTTATGGGGCCACAAGCTCTTCTATAATCCTTAGGCGTGTCATGGATCATGTGTTTTCCTCATCTGCAAGCTTAAACGAAGAGGAGGTCGCACGAGTGTTAATAATGATGGTCAGAACACATTCAAATTTGGAACAAAGCGCGGCTGCGCAAGGTCTGGCGGCATCAATCTTTGAAGGTGCTGATGTAGCAGTTCAACATATGTCGTCATGGGATGTGGAAGTTTTTGCTTCGGTCGTGGCGGATCTGGTAAGTTCCATTTTGGGAAATGACCGGACGCAGGGCTAACCGATGCGCTAGAACCCGAAGTTGGATTGGTACGTCGTCATGCGTGCGTGTGATCATAAGGACTTCAATATCGCCGATTCCCAAGGGCTCGCTGTTCTGTTAAATGCTTCCAAAGTTTATCTCAAGGTTGGTCGGGAAGGGCTTGCGTTTCTTTAACAGCATTCTGAATGATGGTATCACGTAGGACATCTATCAGTTTCCCGTGAAGGCATTTTTCTGCCGGTGGAACAATGATAAGGGACAGCTATCCTTTTTAAGGCAGGCCATTCACTCAACACCCGAGCTCTTCAGTCTTAATCAAACCACTCTCAAGCGCGTTGTGCCCTTGGATGCATCGAACTCTGCACGAGCAGCTATACCATCCTTAGCCACCCAAGCATTCAATTCGGTTGAGCTGATTGAAACGTTGATCCTGTTGTCAGAGGGACCCTTGTATGAAGATGTGAAAGTTTTGTTTGAACAAGGCGTCCAGCAATCACCAGAGCTTCTTTTGCTGGGCTTTGCCCAAGTGGCAGTAAGTGTGATACCTTAATAGGCGGATCATCTGATGCCGTTATACCCATTTTTTCTTCTTCAGTTCCCCTGGAATGCTATCATGAAGGAAATGACCCCGGGACTCGTAATGTTGTTTCTCACGGGACACCCAAACTCTGGCTTTGTTCTCCCGCGGCTATGGCAAGTAAACCAAAGCTTGTCAACATCAGGCTTGTTACATTTGTATGCCAAGGATCCATCATCCCTGTCCCGAATTTTGGACGTCGCACAGGAAATGAGAGTAAGCAGTTTCTTGTGCGGATGTGCTTATTGCGATACTGGTAATAAAGGTTTACTTTTCCCAGGCGTTGTCTCAGATTCTGGAAATCAAGCCATTTTCTTTTGCCATTGATCTTGCCGCGCTCGCATCTCGGAGGGATTATCTTAACTTGGAGAAATGGCTGCAGGATCACATTCGAGATGAGGGAGAAGTGTTTGTGACTGCGTGTTTGGAATTTTTGAATGACAAAGTTACGTCGCAAAGTGCCCGTATGGATGCATCAAACCCTAAGCGGTCTGTTCCATTATCGGTTGACGTTGTGGCGACTTTCCTGCGAGTCTTGCATGCACATAGCAGGTCAGCAGATGGCCCTGATTATCAATTGTTGCAAAAAGAGCTCATACTAATTTTTGGATGTCTGCAGTACAATGACCCCAGCAAGTTCCGATTTCTTAAAGGAAGTGACCGGCACCTGTCTTCAAACCTACCCTCGATTAGTCAATGTCGCCTCCGTAGGGGATGGTGCATTGGCTGACGGGAACACATTCACAGATGATGTTGAAGAGGAGGCGAATTCATACTACGAGAAGATTTACAAGGGCGACCTCACCATCAATCAAGTCGTCGACCTCCTCCAACGATTCAAGACGTCTGCGACCCCGCGAGAGCAGGATATCTACAAATGCATGGTGCACAATCTTTTCGACGAGTACAAATTTTTTCCGCGATATCCTGAGAAGGAGCTTGCCATTACGAGTCTGCTCTTTGGCGCCCTGATTCAGAATCAGATAGTTACGTCCAGGGCGTTGGGCATGGCTCTTCGATACGTCTTGGATGCACTTCGCCAACCGGTTGGATCTCGATTGTTCAAGTTTGGTATTCAAGCACTGAACCAGTTTCAAGCGCGGCTTGGAGAGTGGCCGCAATACGGCTCGTTATTGCTACAGATTGGCCATCTGTATCAGGCGCACCCGGAAATGGTACAATATATCAAAACTCTTCAACGACAAGTAAACACCAGTGGAGTCGATCAGCAAAGCGAGCATCTGACAGCGGAGGCAAATCTAGCCCTGACTTCGAATAATATTTTAGACCGCAGTGAAGGCGCGAGCGCAGTTGAAGCACCCGTCTTCACAGCGTTAAGACTGGATACTCTCCTCGATGCCGCTAATCGCGATCAGTTCGAAGTTCCCACCGAAGGCACTCAGGACAAGATTCTTTTCATAATCAATAACGTGTCATTCGCGAACCTTGACGCAAAGGTTACTGAAATTAAAGATATTCTTAAGGAGCACCATTTTCGCTGGTTTAGCCACTACATTGTCGTCAAGCGGGCGAGCATTGAACCAAATTTCCACTCATTGTACATCGCCTTCTTGGACGCACTGGATAGCATGAGTCTCTATCGCCACATTCTTCACGAGACATTTGCGAATATACGCATTTTGCTGAACTCGGAGAAAACTGTTACATCTTCTCAAGAACGCTCCTTGTTAAAAAACCTTGGAACATGGCTTGGAGGTATCACTCTTGGCAAAAACAGGCCAATTAAGCACAAAAACTTGGCGGTGAAGGTAGTAAGATATATTTGAGCGCCGCCTCCTCCCTTGCACACGAAACTGACTGGTGATTTTAGGATCTACTACTTGAGGGGTACGACAGCGGACGCTTGATAGTGGTTATACCTTTTGTATGCAAGGTCCTCGAGCAGTGCAACGCTAGCAAAGTTTTCAAACCTCCCAACCCGTGGCTCATGGCCGTCATGAAACTGCTAGCTGAATTATATCATTTTGCCGACCTGAAGTTGAATTTGAAATTTGAGATCGAAGTCCTTTGCAAAAACATCAAACTCGATGTCAAAGGTTTGAATTGTTGTATATATATCACAGATTGCCGGCGTGGTTGACCTTCGGAATGTCCAGATATTCAGCCAACGAGTCTCCTGCGCAATAGACCCCAGAGAGAGTCCACCATTACCACCGACGCTTTTAAGAATATTGGCAAACCTCTGACTTCAACCCTTTCAACTACCGGGGCTGTGGGTAACGGAACACTGGGAGGAGCTTTCCCTGTAGATCCGAACTCTGCCACTTTCACTAGCGGATTGGGAGCAGGTTTGGGGTCTGACCAACCACTGCTCTCACTCTCCAATCACACACCATTGGCAACAAATACAACCGCTGGTGAGATCCATCTTATTGTCAACTGGCATTCTATACGCCATCTCATTGTTGTCTCCAGCCGATGAAAACGGGGTTGGCATCCCGAATCTCGCAGCTTTCATCACTTTTAACCCCAACTTGCCAATTTTTACTGCGCAGCCATCCTTAAAGAGAATAGTGCACATCGCTATTGATCGCGCTATAAGAGAGGTTCAATTTTGTGTGTATTCGGAGCCGTAAAATTGTGTCGCTGAGTTAGGCTTCTTGTAGATAATATCCCCTGTTGTCGAGCGAAGCGTCACTATCGCAGGAATCGCTACGCGAGAAATCGTTATCAAAGATTTTGCTTTAGAGCCGGATGAGAATAAAATGCGCAAGGCTGCACATCTCATGGTGTCTAACCTCGCGGGTACGTACAACCAGTGAGAGAGTTGGGTGCTAGCTCTAATTATGATGTCCAGGGAGCTTGGCTGCAGTATCATCTCGTGAACCCTTACGGGTGAGCATGATGTCTCATCTCCGCAGTCTATTGGTGCAGAACGGCTTCACAGAGGTATACGATGCTCGTCGCATTGCGTTACCAACCGAATCTAGCTTGACATTGTCACTGATATTACCAGCAAACGATGCCGGAGCAAGCCGTGTACATTATTGTAGCCGACAATTTAGATCTGGCGTGCTCTGTATTAGAGAAAGCCGCTGCTGAGAAGGCCCTGCCTGACATTGACGAGGCGTTGGCCACATCTTTTGTTAATCGACGAAAACATCGAGAGGTGAGTTAAAAGCTTAGCCCGTTTCAATGCGGAACCGATCTAATTCTTGAATGAAGCGGAGTAATCAACCATACTATGATATGGCTGTTTACGCGGCCTCCCGGTATCCTTCCACTTTACCGGAGCCGCTGCGGCTAAAAATTGGCGGACTAAATGTGCAGCAGGTAAACTATTACACGGTGCAAGGCTATGGTTGGCGAGTATGTTTCTAACTTCGCGTAGTTCCGCGTATACGAAGACTTCTCTAGAGTATCTCGGCAAATGTCCCCTACGCCTGGTAGGCCTTCTGCTGAAGAACCTGACATGCATTTGCATTTCAATGCAGAATACCAATTTTGTCATATACAGGCGCCGAACTTGGTGAAAAGACGACTCGGCATGCAATACCTCGGGCAGAAACACGCTCAGACACGGTCTCTGCTGTCCTTCCGGGTGCTGGGGAAGGAACATTTGAGGAACCAAGGGGCGCATTACCCACGCAACAATGTGTTGAAAAGTTTGCGGTGAGACGCGTTTTGTTTAGGCCGCAACGTTCGGGTGTAATTCCAAGCTAAAGGACGTATCGCTATAGCATTATATGTCCGATTTAGAGCAACAAGTCCTTCAGAACTCCACTGCTACACTGGCTACCCTTCCAGCTCAGCATGAAATTCGCATTTTAATGCGTGACATACTGTTGCTCCTATCGCACTCTTTCAATCGAGATGAAATTGCACTGCTTTTCGCACAGAAAGTTGTCCAGCTACTGTATAAGAACAACTCACCGATCGGACGAGAGGTCTATATGCATCTGCTGGAAAAGATGTGTGACGTCTCCAAGCGGTTAGCAAAAGAAATTAAAGATTGGTTGCTCTACCATGATGATGAGGTAAGGAGAGGCGCTTGGTCGAACATGCTCTATGTCCGTATTAACCTGTTAATGGTCAGCGCAAATACAATGTTTCTGCAACGCTCGCAATTGTTCAAGCGAATCTTTTGAGTATTTCTGAACTTGATATGCAACTGGCTCGTTTAATGGACGGTGGCCGCACACCTGTCATTGAGTTCACCGTGGACTTGATGCAGAAGTTTGTAGAAGCCGATCAGCCAGTAGCATTGCAGAGCGGTTTCTTTAATAGTCTCGAAATGCTAAACAAATTGGCAATGCGTGGGAAACTATCAGATGGGTCAGTTATTTGGTGAACACCATCCATTGATAAGGGTAGATTTTGCTGATACCACACTTCATCCAGCATTGTTCAACAGTTGGAAGCATGGAGGAGTAATATGCCTCTTTTCTCCGTCAAGGATTTGACTGCAAAAGATAATGAAACGGCAAGCCTTCGAGAGCACCTGGCTGCTTTGTTCCATGATTGGACCCGCACATTTTATCATCCCGCTTCCAACGAAAAGGCCCATGCGTTCTTCATTCAACAGGTACGGGGAAGGTGTTTCGAATTGCTTAGTTGGTCAGATGCTTATTCTCAGAGGTCGCTTCTCAGCTGCAACAGCAAGGCATCCTGAAGGCCGAGTCGATCTCACCACTATTCTTCCGTGTTTGCACGGAGATATGCATTGATTCGTACATCAAGTCAAAATCCAGCCCTGATATTCCGCCCGCCCTACCTTTCCAGGCCGTAGACGCCTTTGCGCGGCTGATTGTTCTCCTCGTACGCTACCATGTTGATCCCGCCGGCGCAGACAACAACCATGCGCGGCTGAATCTGACAGCAAAGATTCTTTCGATTATCGTGTTGGTCTTGGTTCATTCCCACGAACAGCAGCGTACTCATTTCAACCAACGCCCCTTCTTCCGATTGTTTTCCACGCTACTGAACGATCTCAACATGTTTGAACACGATCTGCAACCAATTTACATTCAGATTCTGTCGGCCGTCAGGTACGTATTTGTGGATAGCTGTCATCTCTGATGCAATGAATGCCTGTTTACGTTTATGCTTGATGCAGCAACACATTCCATACTCTCCAGCCTTCATTCCTGCCTGGATTCACGTTTTCGTGGCTGCAGCTCGTTTCACACCGCTTTTTCATGTCTAAGCTGCTTTTAGCTGAAAATCAAAAGGTAGCTGGACACCGCTTGTGCGTATACCGAATAGACGGCTCATTTTCTTCTTCATCAGTTTTGGCCGTTCTTCCAGCGCCTCTTGGTCGACCTGTTTAAATTTCTCGGGCCGTTGTTGAAACAAGTGGAAATGTCGGAAACCACGCGGCTATTGTACAGAGCAACTTTGCGCATTTTGCTTGTCTTGCTGCACGACTTTCCCGAATTTCTGTGCGACTATCATTTCAGCTTTGTAGATGTGATTCCCCATACGTGCATACAACTGCGGAATCTGATTCTTAGCGCCTTTCCGAGAAACATGCGGCTGCCGGATCCGTTTACACCGAATCTGAAAGTTGACTTATTACCGGAAATCAACCAGCCGCCGCACGTTCTGTCCGACTACACCAGCAGCTTGCTACTGAACAATTTCAAGCAAGACATTGACGTGTATTTGAAGACGCGTGGGCCAGTAACGTTTCTGCTGGACTTACGGAGTCGCTTGCTCCTTCCGGACTCTGCTTATAATGTCGCCGCTATCAATGCTCTGGTATTGTACGTTGGTGTACAAGCCATAACGCAAACCCAGAGTAAGCAGTCGCAAAGCTCCACTCCCATAACACACAGCGCTCCCATGGACATATTTCAGCAATTGGCGGTGGATCTCGACACGGAAGGTAAGGAAATAGCCAATCGGCTAGTAAACACAGTCTTAGCTCATAAATGTATCTTTACGTAGGTCGATACTTGCTCTTCAGTTCAATAGCCAATCAACTTCGCTACCCTAATAGTCACACGCATTATTTCAGTTGTGTACTGCTCTACCTGTTTGCCGAGGCGAATCAGGAGATTGTGCAGGAACAAATAACAAGGTAATTGGATCGATACATGATACTGTGTAAGCATTCCGCTGTCTGACAACCGATACCTCTATCTTCAAGGGTCTTGATTGAGAGGCTGGTAGTAAACCGACCACATCCGTACGGCCTTCTGATAACGTTTATCGAATTGATCCGAAACCCGCGTTACAATTTCTGGGATCATACGAACTTCATACGGTGTGCTCCGGAAATCGAGCGACTGTTTTCTAGCGTGGCCAAATCCATCAACCAGTCCTTAATGCGCTCCCCCCAGTCATAGCAGTCTTGTATATTGCAGCTTATTCTGTACAAAAATTGACCGATTTAAATATGTGTTAAAACTCTGCGGCTTCTATATACTGTCTAAATCGCACGTATCGTAACTCGCTACAGTTGCGGCGTCCGCTGGGGAAAGCAAGAGAAGCCTGGAATCCGGTTCACTTGATCTCACTTCATGTGGATCTTCTCCAAAGACCACGCGAACATCATACTCCTTGTTAAGTGAATGTGAATGACTGAAGTGATGATTTCGGGATTGTGCAGTGGATGACAGAGTGGTACATCCCTCCACCAGGCACCGGTACTAATAACCAAAAGTTACGAAACATGCTGTCCGACAACGAGTTATATGGGTACCATACCATATCTTGCTGAGCGGCTAAAACCTGGAAAAAACTATCGTGCATCTCCTGGAGATGAATGTCCAGCAAGTATGCGGTAGGTAAAATACGCCCACAAACAAAGCACAGGAGCACATGGGCCTCACGGTAGTGCTCCCGGTAGGCATCAACTGTTTGGAATGAGAAGTTCAAGCAGGATGCTGCGAGGGTGCAAGATACCGGCACGTCTGATGAGTTGTGAGGATGTACTGGAGTAACGTTATCATCGTCAGGTAGCATCCGGTACCACTTGGTCTCATGATTAATATCTTCTCCAAGAGACCGCCTCCGTTTACGAAAAGAGGTCTCCGCGCTGCTCGCTGTCATTCGTCCACTCACACAAGTCGGACCATAGGATGTAATCGCTTGGTGGTAAGCCACGATACGAGCTACCCAAATGGGTGATCCGGTGGCCTAAAAATAGCTAGTAGCCGGATCCTACTAGGTAAACCCTGTTCGTTCCTGTGCTTCGTTTGCTGATGATCTCGGAATCCGTTTACGTCGACTTTTGGGTTTCATGCCTACCCAACTCATTGCAGGGGACGCGCTAAGCCGCCTTGGGGGCAAGCGGACGTAATCATTTTTTTATTTTTGACTTACGTGAGATCGTCGAAGTAGATCTTCGCTGCCCAGTCCAGGCACATTTTTCGTAGTAAATTCAAGGGCAGCCTAACCTAGCGGGAGCCTTGCGACCGGCTCCTCGGTCATTGAGCGCATTCATCATTCCCCGGGCCCTACTCTTCCATTACACCGGCCATGCTGCAGCCCACAGTAAAAGAGCTTAATACAACCGACGGTAGTAACCGGTTTAGGGTACGTCCAGCCTCACATTATCTCCCGAAATATAAGGATTTCTCACCCTGAACTGTCTTAGTTTCAATCGTTTCATGATCGTATCAAAACGGTGAAAATCGACGTTGCTCATCGTGTCCGACAACATGGTCCAATCGAGGTACGTTTGCTTGTTCTCGGGACATTGAAAGTTCAAACATTTGTACAAATGTCTGATCTGGCAACTGTCACCAGGACGAGGATGGCTCTTTCTTCAAGGATGCTCTTGATCGATGGGTGGAAGTCAACTGTACTGGACACTTCACTTCATTTGTCCGGGATGTGCGGCCCTTGTCCATGTCACTGGTGCAAATACTATATCATAAAGATGCGATGATGACATTGATCATGCGTCATCTTCAAATATTCGACAGTCTCGCGTACGAGCCGATTTTGGAGTACGTATACGAGTGCCTGCTTGCGATGGGAGCATGTTACTAATCCGTTTTCCAGTTTGACCGTGGCGTTAGCTCGAGATCTGCAGGATGATTTCCATCCCTATATCCGTCCACTTTTTGAAATCATTGTTCGATTGCTCCAAATATCAGATATCAAACTAACCGAGGTAAGTCCTGATGTCTCTGGGGCCATCAAGACTGGGGGTCTCATCATATTTTTCTTGCGTCACCTTTCATTATAGTGCCTGTTCAATACTCTCGCGTATCTTGTTAAATATCAATCCAAATACCTACTAAATGATATGTCTTCGACTTTTGAGTATGTTGCATTCGCGATTCATCGGTTGCCCCGGTCATTAATTCCTTCCTCTGCGTACTTGAAAAATAGCTTAATGGTCCCACTGTTAAGAAGCACAAAAGAGTACATTCGGCGTTTTGCAGCAGAATCCTTCGGATCGTTGATGCGAAAGGTTCAAGGAGCATCCGCTGCCTTATTGTATGAGGACATCATCCGGCGCCTCAGAGCGACCCCTGAGGATCCTCTTCTCGATGGCCTCAGCGCACTTTTCTTCGAAGCTGTTAAGGCACGTATATGGCATGACGAACACGACCCACGTATGGTATCTCACACTACCGTCCTTGCAGCAAGTAGACGGAAACGTCCACTACCGGTCACCAGTAATGGTGAGGCAGCTATTCTTGGTAATACTGAGTGAAGGATCCGATGACACCGGTATTTCGGACAGCGTTTGTCATTGTAAACTTTTCAAGTATTAATGTTTAGGTTCAGATCCTGCGTACCGGATGCTGCAGCGCTTATTTGAACTAGTCGGGCATCATACCGCAACTGAGAATCTGATCCCTCTATGGGATACTTTGTTAAGCGAGTTGCAGTCATGGATGGAAAAAATTAGGGCAGGAACACCAACAGCGACTATCTATATGCAACTAAGCAAAATAATGCATTTGATCCGCAATTGGGTTGCTCTTCGCAATGGCAGAAAGGTCACAAGTACGTTGATTGAAGTGGTGCGTAAATGAAGGAACTTGATCGCCTTATCTCATCTGACTTCACAGATCGAGAGTCGCTCTATATGACATTGAACCCTCTTTGCCAACTTCTTTACGAGGCGCGCGGTGACTGCCCATCGCACACAAAAACAGCTTTTGTTGAGCTGCTGGCCGAATGCTTGCTGATTTCTTCAATGGAAGAGGTGCTTACCCGTGGGAAGGATATTTTGAATACCCTCTTCACAACTGATGTACGGTTGCATATCGAACTCTGAATAACGTGTGCCTGATTCTTATGATAACTGCTATGTAGGACTTCGCACTCGTCCTCCATTTTTGCGACCTGCTCCATCATCGGAATTGGGAGCACTTCCCCAGAATCATCCTTCCGTATTTGTTGACGTAAGTGACACATCCGGATTTGTCCGCATCATACGGCTCGTATTCATGTCATCTATCCCAGATATATACAAGGAAGATGGGCACTCCATCCAAAAGAATTTATTCTGTGTTTAGCGAGCTTTTGCGGCAAGATCGATCAATACATCGCAACCCTTCCATATTCTTTTAAGACGGCTGATAATCGCATTCGCTTTGACTCTCATGTGAGCTACCTCCGATCATCAACAAGAAATGAGATTAAAAGCAAGCCTGAATCTGATATAGCTCCGGCAATTATTGATTTATTGCGAGAGCGAGAAAGCTGGAACGCTAAGTTTCGAGAAATCGCGAACGAATCGCATCAGGCATCTTCAGATCTCGGTCTACTTGCCGCCGTATGTTCAACCATCCCTTACATTGCGCTACCATTTGCGGACGTTTTTGAGGCTCTAAATGCTTTGATAGCATCGCTCGTGGACGTTCTCTCTGGCGACATGTTGACCGACCCTGCCAGCCGCGCTGTAATGTCTGCTTTGGCTGGCCATGTGATCGGTGCTCTATCTGAATCTGCTTCACGGAGTGGGAGCATTCATCGCTTAGGCGACGCATGGGATGTGATCATCACTTCGTTTCTGCCTTATGCTGTCAACAATGCTGTAGCTCTGCAAGGGGTGGCCGACTTTGTAGAAGTCCTTCAGCGGTCGGGCGATCACGCTCTCCTATCTACCGGTAATCTTGGAGAAGTTTTTGCCACTATTGGTAAAGATATTGGGTCTCTGAACGGGGACGTTCGACTGCATACCTTACGAATATTATGTGCGTTTGATCAGTGTCCTCTGGAACCTAGTAAGGATAGCGCATATACTGGAACCTGTCCTGTTTTTGCGATCTGCTTGGAGGTGGAACGCACTGCAAACACGGTCGCGACACTTAGAGAGAAGACCATCCTTTTCCGGCGTCTCGAGTCCCTAGCTCTGTCTGGTACTCTGCCGGCTATGTATGCGCAGGCGCCCTTACGCTATGCGTTGGCGATGTTGAGTGTGCCGTTCACCCCTCTTTGGGCCGAAGCCACTAAACTCGTTTGCAACCTTGGACAACGCGATCTGAGCCTTTTCTGGTCAGCATATTATGAAACGCTTCTAGGAGCGGATGTAACTTGCATGATACGAAAAGACATGAATATGTGTGATCAGGCAGGTCTGGAGAACAAGGAAGACGTTTCGCCGGCGCTCGAAGCTCCGCAACCCGGCGTTACGGTGAACTGCACAAATGTCGCAGATGGGACTATCTTAGTCCGTGCCGTTTACACTGATATCGATGACCGCCTGTCCATATTCTTAAGAGATCTAGTAACCATTTCCAGCCATCGTTTCGATCCGGTGAAATATCATTCTCTTCTCATAGGCATTCTCTCTGGTGTACCCCAAGCCGTCGAGAAGCATTCTGAGCAGATTGTTTCCATATTCCTCGCGCTATTTGAGATGGAGGATTGTCGTCAAACCACCTTTCAACCTCGTCAACCTCTACCAAATGGAGCAGGCACAGAGCGTCAGCAAGCGCATGTTGAGATCAGAGATGGATGTCGAATGAGAGTGATCGATTTCCTAGGTGTCATGTCGAAAGTTAGGCAACCTTCCCGTATTTATAAGTCGCATTTGTTGTACAACGTTTACCTGCAGCTTCTTTCGCATGGGGATGATCGGCTTCAGAGATTGGCTCTCGAATGTATAATCGCCTGGAAACAGCCGGGGATCCTATATTTGGAAGATGCTTTGAAATGTCTTACCGAGGACGATAAGTTTCGTGACACTCTTTCAAAGGTGGATATGGAGGACATTCATGCGAATGTGAAAGTTGTGGATCAGGCGCCTTTAGCCCAGGTTCTAGTGCGCATTCTGTACGGCAAGCTCATCAGTAAACGAGGTCGAAGTTCTGCAATGATGTTAAGAGCCCGGCGAACGGCGATTTTCGCGTTTCTAGCTGGATTAGATGAGTCCTACCGCGCACACATCTTTGACATGATGCTAGACTCGTTCGATGCCGTCGTCTGTACTCCGGAACCGACCTTTGAGGCCCCTTTGCAGATAACGGATGGTTTAATGAACGAATCGCTCAGGGACATGAAGAGAAAAATTGGCTATCTGCATTTGCTTCAAGATGCCATTAAGCAACTGAGGAATCTACTGGTCCCCTTCCTACCAAAGCTACTAAAAGTCCTGCTATACCTGCTACATTTTTCTAATACTCTCGAGGAAGATCGCAAAAGAAATAACCGGTCCTCTGAGACAAATGAGGATCCAGGGGAATCGTATGTCGACAAGCAACTGAAGGAGATTCGTGTTCTCGCAATCCGTAGGGTAAACGAGCTATTTGAGGTGGATTTGGATTTTGACTTTAGCCCGTATATCCCGGCGATGTTCCAGACGTCCATCAACAAACGGATTGCCGCATTCGGTGTTGAGAATACGCAGGCGCCTAGTTCACTCCTTGAGCTTCTGAGGACATGGTCGAAACATCGACAATATGCATCGTATTTGATCGATTACTCGCCACTTTTATTCCCGAGCATTCTGTCTCTCCTCTCCGCGAAGAAAGTACAACCCGCGGTCGTCAATGTCGTGTTGGAAATCGTTGAAGCGATTCTGCTATTGGATGACGAGTATCCATCCGATTCCCTGGCAACGAATATCATAAAACCGAGTTTATCTGTGCTGATGTTCAATCTCCGCTGTTTGCTCTCTTCTCTTTTCGAAGACAAGGGGCCAACACGATTACTGGGCAACACTATTCCCGCTCGGGTGATTCGCATCCTGGCACAGATATCCATGCACGTGACGGATGCTGATCAGGCGTCTAATCTGCTGGACATGATGCTACCTTACCTAAAACGGCCCGCGAAGGCTGTTCCAGAGTCCACCAAGGTCGAAATCCTTCGGATTTTTTCCGACTTCGTGTCCATATTACCTGCGTTGAGGGAAACATCACCCTGTGGCACAATTTACTTCAAGGTCATATCCCAACTGTTTGGAACGCTAGAAAGTAGAGAAGCGCGCGAACAATTACTTAAAGTCTTTTCGGAATTTGTCAAGCTTGATGCTAGTCTGAACCTTGTGTCAGAGCTCATACATGGGCTAAACGCATATTCCACAAACCGCCTTGACGAACCAGACTTTGATCGCCGCTTTGAGGCCTTTGGACGCATCAGTCAATCTCTCTACGTCACGTTGAGCTGTACGCAATGGCTACCAATTTTGCATAACCTGCTGTTTTACATTCAGGAACCTGAAGAGTTCTCCATTCGTACTAGCGCCGGTTTTTGCGTATCCCAATTTATTGCCCGAACGTCGGAACAGCGGCATAGGGACACGCCAGAAGAGTGTGCGGAGCGGATGAACTTGTTGGTTCACGTTATACTTCCGAGGATACGACGAGGGTTCAAGCTCAAGATCGAGCTGATCCGACAGGAGTTTCTAAATCTGTTGGCACAGACTGTGCGCTCTTTCCCATCTTTGTCATCTGTTTCTGATATGGTGGGTCTTTTGGCTGACGGCGATGAGGAAGCCAGTTTCTTCGGCAATATATACCACATGCAAATACATCGACGCATTCGTGCATTGCGACGCCTTGCCGATGAATGTAGAGCGGGACATTTAACGGTCGGGAACATCGCTAATGTATTTGTTCCGATCGTTGTACATTTTATTTTCGAATCTGACCGTGTGCAAGATCACGACCTAATCAATGAAGCGGTTACTACCCTTGCAGCATGTGCAGGATCGTTGAGTTGGGGACATTATTATGGACTGCTCAAACGGTTTCTCAACGCCCTACAGCACAAGCCGGCACTTGAGAAAGTGATAAACCGGGTCATCATCAGCGTGCTGGATAATTTCCATTTCGATGTCTCAGGAAAGAATGATCACGCGATGCCCAATGTGAGCAGTGAAGAAAGTGCAGTTCAGTTGTACGTACCTGAAGATGCAAATGACCATGTTGAAGTTGACATCGATGAGGACCAGATAGATGAAGGAGCCGAAGGCATGGTGAACAAATTGGGTAGTGAGATGCCGGACATCTCGCTTACTGAACGGGTGCATAGTACGGTCATGCAAAGGCTCTTGCCGGATCTGCAAGGCTACCTGGCGGCAGTTGACGACAACACGATACCTATTCGAGTCCCGTTGGCTCTGGCTATTGCGAAATTACTGCAGAAACTTCCGGAAAAAAGTATACAGGTTCAGTTGCCTAAGCTGATTACAACACTCTGCCAATTTCTTCGCTCTCGAGGCCAAGATGCTCGCGATCGGACACGGGACACATTGGTTAAGATTGCTGCAGTTTTGGGTGCTGAGTATTTACCTTTCATCTTAAAAGAACTCGAAGGGGCGCTTACGAGAGGGTATCAACTTCATGTCCTCGGTTTTACGGTGCATTCTCTAGTTTCCAACATGGTTCCCACTGTTGCTGCCGGGCAGTTGGACGCGTGTGTAGGAAACCTTGTCCGAATCTGCATGGCTGATATCTTCGGTGACGTTGGTGCGGAAAGGGAAGTGGAGGAACTTCGAGGAAAGATGCGTGAGATTAAAGTTACGAAAAGCTTTGATTCTTTTGAGCTCATATCTCAAGTAGTCAGCTTCAATATGATCGGAGCTCTGCTGCTACCGCTGAAGGAGCTCATGCTGGAAACTAATAGTGCGCCAGTGATACGCAAACTCGAAGAGGTTTTAAGGAAGCTTGCAGTCGGTCTGAGCAGCAACACGGGCTTGAGCGAGACCGATTTGATGGTCTTCATTCATAACCTTGTGACCGAGAGCCTTTCTATATCCCAAATGCCAGCTCAGACAAAAAGGGAGAGAGCAGTCGTCGAGCAAAATTTTCTGGTTCAACTGAAGCGGACTGATTGCGTTGAGCCTTTGAAGTATTTTCAAGCAAATGCACATATGTTTGTTAACTTCGGGCTGTCCCTCCTATTGACAGCATTACGGACGGAACGCGTCAGCATTCGGAACGAACGTCACCTGAGCATGTTAGACCCATTACTTGAACTTCTCGGCCGTTCGCTATATTCCAAACATAGTGCAGTTAGCATTCAGGCATTGCGAATATTGACCATCCTTGCAAAAGCACCCTTGCCGAAGCTGAAGGAAACCATACCGATCGTTCTCAAGCGATTGTTTGAAATCGTGAGCAGGAGCCTGGCTACGAATCCCGAATTGGTCCAGGCCGCCTTCCGCTTATTGACCACCATAATACGGGACTGTAGTTATGTGCCAATTGATCAAAATCAAATTGCCGCACTACTCGATGTCATTCGTCCCGATGTAGAAACACAAGTGCCGGATCGGCAGACGACGGTATTCTCCCTCATCCGTGCGATCCTGGGACGGAAGTTTCTTGTCAAAGAAATCTATGATTTGATGGATATTGTGCGGAAGTGCATGGTGACAAGTCAAAGTGCTCAAGTTCGCGATCTTTGTCGACAAACGTATCTCCAATTCCTCTTGAACTACCCACATGGTCCAAATAGCTTGCGCAAGCAACTAGGTTACTTGGTTAAAAATCTGGCATACGAACACGAAAGCGGACGCGAGTCAGTACTCGAGATATTAAACTTGCTGATCCATAAGGGGGCTGATGAAATGATATTTCATTACGCGGAAATGCTCTTTGTCGCCTTGGTGATGAATCTAGTCAACGACGATTCCGCAAAGTGCAGGGAGATATCTGGCTCCCTCCTTTCTACCCTGACGGCTCGTTTGGATGGGAATCGAGTATCCAAATTGCAGCTTCTAGTGGAAAAATGGTTCGAGCAGGACACGCAACCACACCTGCAGCGCACAGCCGCGCAGGTTGCCGGACTCATGGTGGAAGCCTCTGGCGAAAAGCAAAAGAGATGGCCACCAGCATTACTGGCACATTTGGAGAAAGTGCTGCACGAAGTGGCCGAGCAGCAAGGTAGAACCAACGAACAAGAAGAGACGGGGCCAATTGAAGAAGGCCACACCTGGCAGATTGCGTATTATACCGTGAACACCTTTTCCAAGGTTCTAGTACAATATCCCGACACCATGGATGCAACCGAACCAATCTGGCAACACGTCCACCGGCTACTGCTACATCCTCACCAATGGGTTCGAATTGCCTGTAGCCGCTCTTTTGGCCTTTTGTTTGGTAAAATCGATGTTATATCCCGTAAGGTGATTAACTCTCGAGTGGCAAGTCCGCATACCGTCCTGGCTAGCCAAGAATCGCTTAAACACCTAGGCAATTCTTTCTGTGCTCAGTTGAATTCTGACTTGTTGACGACGGATCTTGCTACGCAAGTAGTAAAAAACCTATTTTTCCTTGGAAAGTGCTTCTACGAGCTAAACAAGGGCAACTTCGCCATGAGAGGGCTGGTACCATCCCTGGAAGAATTGGACGATACCGCATCACATGAGAGCGAACCCATATTGGAGGACCAGATTCCCAGCTCGGGACCAGATGACGCACCCTCACATGGTGATTTGCTACTTGCACTGTGCCGTAAGTTGTCGTACCTGGCAAGAGCTGAGGCTTCCAAGAAGCGGGGACCTATCCTGGTTAGTCAAATACTCTGAATGATTTCCTGCATTCACGAACTTTACTAAATGTGATTCTCTCGATCAGCGTCGTAGCGTCTTTCAATGGTTTGCGGCCATGAGTAGGTACATTCCATCGGTACATCTGAAACTATATCTTGTTCCGATGGTATCAACGTTATACCGGACGTCCAAAGACGAGACTGCCAAGGGCAGCGATGCAGGTGCGATTTTAGATTACTTTAGCTCTCGGTGGAGATTTCTCACCAGATAATTTTAAACGCAGACGAGCTGCGCCTACTAGCAAACGAGGTCATGGAATTGATTCAGAGGCAGGTCGGTACTGCAGATTACCTGGAAGTCTACAATCAAGTGCATTTCCGAGTGCAGACGGTCAGGCAAGAACGGAGAGTACAAAGGAACGTACAGGCTGTTCTGGATCCAGAAGCACGAGCCCGGCGAAAACTTCAAAAATCCAACATGAAACGCACAAACCGAAAGCGGAAAGCAGAGGAGTTTGCGAGAACCAAGCACCGAACAAACATCTCCAAGAAGTTGCGTCATGGGCAATGAGCGACTGCTGATATTTTTTTGTATATACTGTATTTTTATTGTATTTCGCATATCTTATACATGTTTATATAGAGTTTTGTAGACCATAACCAATTATTGTCCCCAACATGAATAGCGATGCTCTGGAAAAGTGTAAACAGATTCGGGTGTGGAGCGTGCTTCGATGCAATATCGTACACCAAGTTGCATGACCTCAACTGGCTTCACTGAGTTTTTCAGGTGACAACTAGAGTTCATGTTTTGTTTGTCAGTTTTCAACAGATTGTAGCACAAAATGTTGCTATTCATTTGACATTTGAGCAAGAAAACGCTCTCACTCAGAGTCTTTTCATACCGTGGTACGGCGGATCGAAGAATCTTGTAGCGCAACTCAATACTTAAACCGAGTGCGGCCTCGGTTGTATTGATCTTTCAGCGTCGCGTGGACATTTGCCGTCGTTATCCTCCATGGCTGCTCGGTGACGGGGTCATGATAAATCCCCATGATTTCCCTTTTGCCGCGCCCACGTGATTTATATGCCACCAGCATCGCAAGTCCCCACTACAAAAGGAACGGGCACAAGGGCATACTATCATGTATTAAGCCATGACGTGCCCAACGGATCCCAATTCGTTTGCAAACGTACATGAGATTGTGGTGAAGCATACCCACCTCACACTAACAGCCGACTTCGATCGTCGCATTTTACATGGGCAAGTCGTGCACCAGGCACGGGCAGTTCAACCCAATGTCTCTCAGTTGATCTTGGACTCGAACTTTCTCGACATTCAGAGTGTGTCAGTTAATGGAGTTCCTTTGAAGGTACTTACACTGGAGAAGCTTTCTTGCGGTATATTTGAAAATTACAACTAACGTCCGGGCAGTTCATCGTCGCGGATCATCACCCTAAGTTCGGGTCCAAGTTTACCATCCACTTCGAGAAGCCACTCGGGACCGATGAGGAAGTTAAGGTCTGCATTGAATATGCTACCACAGAAAAATGTACTGCTCTTCAGTGGCTAGAGCCAAGGTAACTGTAGTAAACCCGCGACCATCTCGTCCAGCCCACTATATTGACGATCGTGCGTGAAGCCAAACTATGGGAAAGAAATATCCATACCTCTTTTCTCAATGCCAGGTGTGTGCTACTGTGTCAACTTGATCTTGCGTTTGCTTTACTCAAATGTTCCTCTAAAGGCGATTCATGCCCGCAGCATGCTGCCGTGTCAGGTAGAGATCTCCATTATATCCACACAGAAGATATATTTATGCAACATACAAGGCCTAGCATTTACATGGTTTTCAAAAAAAATATGCTAATAATTGGCTGGCAGGACACCCCTGGAAACAAGTTGAAGTGGTCGGCAGACGTGGTCGTCCCCTCGCATCTTCGTGCATTGATGAGTGCTGTACGAACCGGTGAACGCACCGTAGGGGATCAGAAAGTGTATAGCTTTGCCCAGAATGTGGGAGTTCCGGTAGGTGCAGCAATACATTCATTAAACAATGGGAGTTGGTGTAACAAGTTCTTTTTAAAAGTCCTACCTAATCGCTCTAGCAGTTGGAAACCTCGAAGGTCGAACCATAGGACCCCGCTCAACAGTGTGGAGTGAACCTGAGAACGTCGAGGCTTCCGCGTGGGAATTCATCGACACTGAGCGTTTCATTAAGACTGGCGAAGAGCTGGTGAGTTTTACTAGTATTTTAAGTGCAGGCTGTTAAATTTAACCTGCGCTTTTCAGCTCACTCCTTATGAATGGGGCCTGTACGACTTACTTGTACTGCCTCCGAGTTTCCCGTCTGTATCTTTCTTCTTCCGTTCGCTATGTGATCTAGTAATAATATATGTTGCGACTTGGTACTCACAGATATGGGGGTATGGAGAACCCCTGCCTTACGTTCGTCACCCCAACTCTCCTGGCTGGTGACAGAAGCTTAGTTGATGTGGTTGCTCATGAGATTGCTCACAGTTGGATGGGCAACTTGGTTACGACCCAAAACTGGGAGCACTTCTGGTTAAATGAGGGATTTACGGTATTTATAGAACGGAAGATCGCCGGTCGCCTCCATGGGCAACCTGTTCTCGAGTTCGATGCCATTATCGGGTTGAAAGCTCTCTCGGAGTCGGTTGAGCATTTTGAGGAGATCAAGCGCCCGGAGTTCTCGCGCTTGTGTCCCTGTTTACGGGATGAAGATCCCGACGAGGTAGGCGTTGAGTGGAATCCAGAACTGTTTCCTTTTACTCAGCTCGTCCGAATCAACTCTGTTTCGTGGCAAAATGGTGTCCACTAGGCGTGAGTATATACGTTACGAGTGTTCCATAGCCTTATCCATGTTGTTAACCTTCCATAATTGATGCAGATTCTCTTCGGTTCCTTATGGTATCCATGTATTTTGAATGAGCGATTCCATTATTTGATGCTGAACAGTTACATAGAAAAGGGTTTCAACCTGTTGTTCTACCTTGAACGACTGCTGGGTGGCCCGGATGTATTCGGTGAGGATTCATTAAAGCCAGCCACGACAGTTGCTGATACTCACATACCGATGTAATCTTGCGGCAGAGCCTTATCTTAAGGGTAAAGAGCACGGGCTCATATTGTAGATAGCATGAAGTGACTCATGGACCTATTGATTTCTCATAGCTCACGTCACGAAGTTCGCCCACACGTCGATTGCGACTGATGACTTTAAGCGGTTCTTGTACGAATTTTATCGCACCTCGTATGGGGATGAAAAGATTGCTCTTTTGGACACAGTTGATTGGAACGCGTGGTTATTTGAGCCCGGCATGGTCGGTGTTGATTATCACTACTCTCTGGCCAGCCACTGCTGACATCTTTTCTATCTAGCCTCCTGTGAAAAACGACTTTAACCAAGAACTTGCTCAAGTTTGCCAAGATCTCGCTGACGAATGGGATGCATGCAGGGGCAAACAGCCTCAATTTGATAAATCGGTATTTGAAAAGTTCAACTCCAATCAGAAAGGTGCGTAGTCAAAGTCCTTGTCATGATTCTGCTCCTCAGTATCTAACATTCTTTGCTTAAAGTCATGTTCCTCGAAAAGTGTCTACTAAAATCTGCCTTTCCGCACGAGCTTCTCGCAGCTATGGACGAAACATACACCTTATCTAGTGTCACTAATGCTGAGATCCGATTCCGGTAAGTGGTGCTGGCACTTTTTACCCCTCATGCACAGGACTGATCAAAGGGGGTGTGCAGGTGGCAGTGGTTGTGTCTGAATGCAGAGTACGAGACCGTCTTCCCAGAGGTCACCCGGTTTCTCACAGAAGTAAGAATCGTAACATCGCATGGCAACTACAACTAGCTATTAAGCATGTTGTTTCGTCAGGTGGGGAGAATGAAGTTTGTGCGGCCGTTGTACCGGGCTTTGAACAAGTGCAAAAACGGAGGAGCCTTGGCCAAGAAAACATTCCTACAAAACAGAAACTTTTATCACCCTATCTGCGCAAATATGATTCGTAAGGATTTGGGACTTTAGAAGGAGTAGTTATCAACGAGAGTCCGGATTACCGCGCATTTTGTACGGTTTCCAACCAAATTATTACTTCTACATGTAGACACGTGCAGTTAACAAGATAATGTACAAGTATCTGTCATTTAAATAGATTCGGCGTCCTGTGCGTTCCGGAGTCGATCATGACGAGGTGGTACGACCCGCAGTGTTATGCGAGTATCCTGGGAAGTCGTAATCAATACCAAGCGCTTGAAGGCGGGCACGCTTGTTTGATTCTTTTTCCAGTAACGATTTCACTTGCCGGTCGTGCGTTTTCTTCGAAGGCGACTGTATATTGAAATTGAAATGGTTACTAAAGAGCTGAACTGGCTTTAATCTGTGAAAACAGACCTTGTTGTGCTTTTCGCGTTGCAATTTTGCCCGTGGTATGACTTTGAACTTCTTGTCCGCTCCTTTCCATGTTTCAGGATGTACACCATCTTCTGGAACGAACTTGCCTGGAGTGGACCTTATCCTTAGCTTAAAGTATACCATGTCTGCATATCCAGCGCACACGTACATCTTAGCAGATGGTTAAACAGCAGATAATTATCCATCGTCTCAGCGACAATCTTTGCCGTATCTTCCGAGGAAAACTCTATAAATGCGTAATGCTTCGATTTCCCAGTCTAAACAAGATAGGTCATTTTCAACAAATGAGTTTCACAAGCGACGCAAAAAGGACAATGGTACCTTCTTATTCCGTGAAAGGCGTAAGCGTTTAACATCTCCAAATTGTGAAAAGTACGCCTTCATCTCTTTCTCATAAAATCCATGTGGAATTCGGCCAAGGAAGACCACGCCAGGTTTGGATGTAGCAGTTGTATCTTTTCCCTTTCTCGTCCTTTCCATCAGCGCCTCCTTATCCTCCGGGGATAGTAGAACCAGAGGACGATTTGTCTTGAACTCATCGTCAGAGCTTTCCGCCGTTGAAGCATCATCGTCGGAGCTATCATTTGAGTCGGTATTTTCTTTTCAAGCGATGAGTTTCAATGTGATATGTAAGATGTACAATGGACAGCTCCCGCAATACCTTCAATCACAATATTTTCGGTCTCATTTTCGGATGCTGCTTCACTGGCCGTTATGCCTTCTCTCTCCTCCTGACTGTCTTCCCCTGACACCGGATCTACTAGTTGCAGTCACATTGAGCCCACTGTTTGCTTTGTCAAGTGTACGATATGGACAAGGGAAAATGCCCATAATCTTACTTGGAATCGTCTCCCCAACAGCCTCAATGTATTCTTCTCCTGGTTGAGAACCCTTGCCTGTCTTTGTCTTCTTTCCAACCCCACTTTTGGCTACAAATGTAAATATGCCAGATGTTAGGTACAGTTAGAACAAGCGTAACTTCAGCCGGTTGTTACCTTCTGCACGACGTTTCTTATGCCCAGACATGATACTGTTCAACTTCCAATAAATGAAATTGAGATCGCTATAGAACAAAAAGAAAAAACAGAATGAAATAAGCAAAGCATCGGCATGTGGCACGGTGACTCTAGTACGTGCAAATCACTGTGCGACATTTGTCATGCCCCCTCACCTTCCCCTTCCCCGCCTCCCTGGATTGACAGTTGCGGGAAGCGAGCCGTTCAACTGGCCGTTACGTTCTGCGGGCCGTCATGCCAGAGGCAGTGCCAACGACATTGAGCAACGAGGACGAGCAAACGATATCCGATATTCTGCATCAAGAGTGCTTCTATGCACGCATCGGAGTGTCGAAAAATGCAACCCCACAACAGATTCGAAGAGGATACCTGTCCAGAAGCAAGGTATGTAGCGAGCTTCACTGACTCTTCCTGTCTCGTTGTAGACCATCGGAGGAGAGACCTGTGTGCAGAAATTCAGGAGCACTGATGTTTTTGCTCTCTCGGCGACACCGCACGATTTTTATATGTGAACTTACCAGATATGCCATCCGGATCGACTTAGGCACCCTCGTGCAAAAGAAGCCTGTGAGTTCTGCCGGGAACTACTCAGTTCCGTATTTCAAGCGGCTTCCGGTTGCTTGAGTGCCTTGCTCGGCTTAATCGAATTCTCTGCAAACTTTGTAGTTCAGCGTATGTAACAAACAGCAGGTCGCTTGTACCCTTGGACACGGCCTCAACCTGCGAGTTCATTCCAACACTCAGGTTTATCGAACGCCTATTCAACTCTCTCTGATCCTTTCAACCGACGACAATATGATATGTGAGTTCCTAGTAATATTTGGACAGTGTATGGCTTAATTGCTGACATCATCCGGGATAGGTTTGGAAAGCAAATCGACGGCAATGAGCAAACATTTTATGGTATGCGAGTTGAAATGAGTTTACGTGTATTGTTGGCTACTGCAACGACTCGTCTGATCACATCTACTTTCTTCACCAAAGATGCACTGAATCAGGTATTGCATGTCAGATATTGGTACTCTTCAGCGGAGCTAAGTTGAGTCATGATAGGTGTTCTCCGAATTTCTGGAAGGTCATTTCGAAACATTAATGCGACTAGTGGACCATGTGCAAAGGTACCCTGCTTTTGTCTGCATCCTATTCTGCGACGTTTAAGCCTAAGTTCCTTATTTTCCCAAAGTCTCAATCCTGATTTCCACATAAGTAAAGAAGGCACCCGGTACGTTTTACTCTTTGCCAGCCTCACATTAATTGCGTTCTGATCGTCGCTCTGTACGTACAGCCATGTCCTCTCTTCAATGCGGGACTTCTGCTTATGGAGTGGGAGGTGTTGGGGTACTGTGAAGTTTGAGTTGATAACTCTCTATGAGATTCACATGGACATTCAGTCGCTTTCATATTTCGATGTGAAGGGGAGGTTTTTGAAGAGTGGGGTTCTGTCAAGAGGCATCATTGCTTTAATGGGAAGGTTGATACCTGGTGGAGGAGGGCTTATGGTGCATTGCCTATAAGGATTGGGGATGCTTGTATATATACGTGATTTTTTTTGTACAAACTACGATTGAAATGAGTCTAGGCTCTATTTGATGGACACAGTTCAGCGCATGACTGAATATCTCGAGTGTTTCCTGATTCCTGGAATACGTCGCGCTGCTTGATCAGTGGAACATGTGCTGCAGTGCTAGGATTCAAACAAGCAGGTGTGCACTACTACTTCTGTCTGATCACTATAGCTTTATGGTTATAGACAATAACTAATGATATATTATGCGTAAGCGTCGGACATATTTAACCGCCTATTCACGTCGAATGACCAGTAAATCTCCATTACCGTCGTCTTTAGGGCGGTACTCTGAGACGTCCAAGGTTTGATGAGTCAGGTTATTCGCTGACCCATGTGGGGAGTGCGCAAGCTTGTTGACGGCTTTCACAACGTCGATTGCCTTACGAAACATCCGGCGCGCATTGAATCGCTCGCGCACGTGTGGGAGCAGGTCAACATTGGGTGTTTGAGGAGTCTCAGGGTCTACTGGCGCCTGATACATTCTGAGCCATGGGTGCGCCAGTGCCTGTCGTGCGGTCATACGCTCATGAGGATCCACAAGCAGCAGCTTCTTGATGAAATCTTTGGCTACGCAAGCAGTTGGAAAGAAGGTGTGAGGTGCACCAGATACAAGTTTGCAAAAGGGAATCAAACTACGTACCCATGTCCGAAACGTCATACCAGTATTCTGCGGCAAAGGAGTATCTCCCAGTGAGAATGTTCTGCAGCTCATCTGCTTGTGAAGGCGCTTCATAATCAAAGGGCGTATAGCCGCACAAACTTTCAGTTCGATTCGAAGTTAATACACTTTTTAAATACAGATATTTCCCGTTCCGGATCAGTTGACTCACAGAAAGTATGCAAGGACACCAATGGACCAGAGATCGACCGGCTTTCCGTGGCCCTTTTTCTGAATCACCTCTGCACAGAACATATTAGATACTGTCAACCAGGCCGCCTTTGTATAGATTGCCCACCAGGTGCCATATATCCAGGGGTCCCACATGTGGTCATCAAGCTGTCAAACTTGTCCGGATCCATTATCTTTGACAAACCAAAATCGGCAATGACCAGATCACTGAGAGATTCTTTAGTCTTGAATAGCAGGTTCTCAGGCTGATAGGAGAATGAGACCCAGAGTTTGGTACCGCAAGGACTCTTTAAGACTTACCTTAATATCACGATGTACTATAGACTGATCGTGCAAATACGCAACGGCATCGACAACGACACGTACAATTTCGGCAGCATCACCTTCGAAAAAGCTTCCCTTCTCGCAAATACGATCAAACAACTCGCCACCAGTGCAAAGATCCATAACAAGATAGACTGCCATAGACATGATCAGCACGAGTGCTACTGTTACCAAATGTCACCCAATCGCTACTCACGATTATTTGGAGTTTCAAAATCTAAAAAAAAGACCGTAAACATTTTATAACACTAGAGCTACATGGATAGCAAAGACCAGAGCCGGCGTACTTACAATCCCACAAGGTTACAATATTTGGATGACCTTTTGATATTCTTTTCAGAACCTCAATTTCGTTCAAAATCATATGCTCCCGTCCCTGCATCAACCGTTTGCTGATCACCTTCACGGCGTATTTTTCGCCCGTCTTGATCTTGAAACACATGCAACTGTGTTGAACTGCGTTTCTCAGCCGGTCGACTGATACTTATATTCTTACCTTGACGGCTTCTTTGACCGTCGCATAACTGCCTTGCCCTAGCGATCTACCAGTCTATTAAAAAACGTCAGAAAGAGGCAGGCAAAGAGCAACCTTGCATCCAGAAAAATATTACCTTATACTCGCAAGGAGCGAGCGCTGCTGAACTCGATGGTTGTGTCATGATGTGCACTTTGGAGCAGAGTTGGGGAAGAAGGCGGAACGACGGTTGGCGCTCATGACTCAGCTCCATCAGCGGTGCAGTCACTTTCATTGAGTGGCTGTGCCACAACGAAATTCATCAAGCAACTGTGAAGGGCTTTTTCATGCTGTTTACAAACCTTTCATTGGGGGCATTGAGCTTAATCGATACCCGCTGCCGACGTTACTCGGACCATTCAATAAACGAGCAGCTATTGAGCTCGTGGATCGCAGCTCGGAGAAGTGATCCGTTTGCGATCGTTTCTGGTACAGGAGGGTGGAAAGCCAGAAAGTGTCCTTAGCGGTGGATGAATTCGCCTTGATTTCCGTTGGCCGGATTATTCAGTGAACATAAGTGTCGTTAATTCACAAGTCCGCCGAAAGGTGGTGGAAAATGCGACTTGCACCTCGCCCGGGGCGACGGTGAATCTGTGCACTTACTCCTGGCCACAGCCGAGCCTTACGGTAAGTCCAAGACAACTTAGTGAAGCAGTACAGAAGAACCTTAGTCGGCACCAATCTTATACGTCTCCGCTTCTACTTTTCTCCTCAGAATATGTTTTCTTCCATCCGATTTGGTGATTTGAGTCCGGCCGATATTGCAAAAGTGATCGACGCATCATCTTTAGTTCCATACCAGGTAGGTGACTAAGCGTTCCCCATTCAAGTCCACCACTCTTTCTCATTCTGCGACCTTTCTTTCTGTTTAGCCGCGATGGTCTCCTCCGGACGTATCACTAAAACGGCCAAGTATAGTATTCGGGTCCATAGTTGTTATCAGGAGTCCGGACCAAGCCATGAATCCTGCACTCAGTTCACCAGTTGTAATCGGTCCAGCCAGTTCTGGCACGACTAGTGCATCGTTAAAGGACTTGGATTCTATCGTCAACTCGGGTGCGGCTGACAACACAACTGCTTTTCAGTCTGTTAGAGAGGAGGTTTACCATAGATCTAAAAGTGGCCAAGTTTCTGAGAAACGCAGTACGGCTGAAGGGGCGATTGATACTGTGTCCTCTCGTCCATCGGTGAAGGAGATGGACGGAAGTATACCCTATTCACAATCAGTGACAGATAATTCGGCAGCCATTCGCCTCTCGTCCAAGGCTGACAGCTCCGATCTTGCAAATGGTCACATAGTGAGTGAGGTCGATACTACCGAGCCCATCTCACCTGCTGTAGAAGGTTCTGGTGTCCAGATGGACCCGGACGTGGACGTACAAAAAGAGATGGAAATTGGAGCTGCAGAAGTTACCACTCGAGACCAAGAAAGAGGCGCTCCACCGACTGAGACACCAACGGAACCGAGTAGAGAAACGGAAACGCAGCCTGTGTCACCTGTCAAAGCTGCTCATCAAAGTTGGGCCGATCTCTTGAAGAAGCATTCTGGTACAACCCCAAATGGAGTACCGCCACGGGAGACTCTGTCAAAAGGGTCCAAGGGTAAACGCAGCCCTGCAGGTGATTACATTGAAAATCATCCATCCTCGGATTGTGGATATGACTGGTTGATCTCTAATTGAAATGACCTTCTACCTTAAGATGTTCTGAAAGATTTGACAGTATCATATCAAGGCACTCTCATACGACCCCGAGGCTTGATTAATAACGGCAATATGTGCTTCATGAACGCTATCCTACAGCCATTGGTTCACTGTCCTCCGTTCTACAATTCGTTCAAGAAGCTTTCGAAAGAATTGACGCATAATTTTAAAGCTAAATCGTCCCTCTTGAGTGCAATGTACGTACCCGGTGACCCTCCCTGTTGCTGCCACTGCAACTTACATTCAATATTCATGCACAGACTGATGTTTCTGAACGAGTTCCGAGAAGATGAACCGGGAAGACAGTTGGACCTACCAGATGGAGATGATGAGGATGCCTTCGCTCCAGAATATGTTTATGACGCCCTTCGAGCTATGAAAAAAATAGAATCTGTCAAGGTGGGCAATATTAGTGCCAAGGACGCCGTATCGTTAATCTAATGGCCGAGGTTATCAGGGTCGGCAAGAAGACGCAGAAGAGTTCCTTGGTTTCATCCTCGATGGGCTACATGAGGAGCTTCTAAGTCTGCAAAAAGCCCATGGGCCTGTGAAAGTCAATGGACACGCATCAGAAGGCGATTCCAGCTGGGTAGAAGTTGGCCGAAATAATAAGACGCTCGTGACTCGAAGTGTAGGTACCGCGTGAAGTCTTTTCCAATGCGCAACTGGTTCTAATTATATTCATTTCAGACCGAAATTGTAGAATCTCCAATATCCCGAATTTTCGGTGGACGAATGCGATCTGTATTAAAATGCCCCGGCAGAAAAGACTCAATCACTTTGCAACCATTTCAGGCTCTTCAGCTGGACATCACGGTGTGCATATGCTTTTGCTGCAAGCCAGTAGTTGCGCTCATCCTGATTTTTCTATCATTTGAAAGCCAGCGAACGTTAGAACCATTGAAGATGCCTTAATCAATTTGACAGCGGCCGAAACTCTGGAAGGCTTCACCTCCCCGACGAAGGGCAACAGGGTGAGTAAGAGCACGTTCACAACGCACTGTATAAGTCCAATGCCTGAGTACTGAATTTAATGAACCATCAGGGCGACGCAGTTAAGCAGAACTATCTGGACAGCTTACCACCGATTCTCATCTTACATTTGAAGCGTTTTGTGTACGATAATGTCAGTGGTACTCAGAAAGTGCATAAACATGTTGAGTATCCGATGGCACTCAAGATACTTTCAGGTAAGTATCTTAAAAGCAGTAGCATCTTGTCATGGAAGTCTAAGCTCAGGGATGTGCGATTGTAGAAATAATGTCCCCAGCTGCGAGGGCAGCATCGCAATACCTAGAATACCGATTGTTTGCGGTCGTATACCATCATGGACGTTTGGCGGCGGGCGGCCATTACACGTGCGATGTGCAGCGACAGTCCGGCGAGTGGTTGCACCTTGATGATGCACAAATATCGCCATGTCGACCGGACGATGTAGTGCGGGAACAAAAAGATCGTCAGGCATACATGTTATTTTATTGTCGATCTTAATCGATGGATGTACAAATTTTACAACTGTAACATTGGAAACAGAACCCCAAAATATCATTTTTCAACCTTAGACATGCTGGTAACCAAACCCGATCAAAAAGACAACAGTGCCCACTGCACAGAACTGAGCTTAAACGCAAAGCATGTCTGCAAAGGTTTGAACAATAACCGGAACATACAAACGGTCCATTGCTAACGATGCAAATGTCGGCCCATGATCTATAAAACTAGACTCGGAGGTATGGTATCGACTTTGAAGGAAGTGGCCATAGAAAATGTTCGTATCTACACCTAGTGGACGTTAGTAGAAACTTCCGCATATGGTTCCGAATATTGCATATCTCATCTGGCGTGCGTGGATTGCCATATCCGATTGAGGCAGATCTCAATCTTTTCGTTGGAGCTGATGCGCGGATAGCCCACGAATACCAGATAGACCACGGGTACATCTGTATGTGCAGGGTCAACACTGGCGCCGTCCACCCCATTGAGTGGGAGCACCTTTGGATTGGTAGACATGAATACCTCGGCGCGCGAGCTCACAGGACTTGACGTTCGAGCATGGAACGTAGCATGACGACATTCATAACGCGGCGCGACACGGCCATGGGACCTGTTTGCGCCTTTGGCCCGAGTGTGCCCTCATAAAGAGTGCGAGGGCGTGCCTCAATGATTGGTCGATATCCACCCACACCGATGAATGCAAGCAGGAAGAAGTCCTCCTAGTGAAATGTATTTGGCCTTCTAGCAAAGACCTATGGCGACCTAGAAGAGGAGGATGGACAGCGAATTCCGGAATCAGACCTTCGAGACTACAAACAAGAAGTACAGCACCGACTGCAGTCAGCATGGAACTTGGCAAGAAAAAACATTCAACATGCTCAGAAACTGCAGAAGACCTGGTACGACAAAGTTTCACACCTCGACAACTATGGTTTGGGCGACAATGGATTTGTAACAAGCTTTTCGTCGTTGGAATTCGTTCATGCAAAACTATATCTCGTTTGCTATCAGCGTCGGGGTTTGTTGATTGCGTTTCTGCTTACGCAATAGTGTGGCGCCTTTGCACTGGCCAACATCCATGTTTTGAAAGTGTTCAAAGCGATACGCGCTTTTGCCCTTTTGACCCAGACCCTCATTTTGACCTGCGAAAACAATGAATATGCCCAACGTTGACGTAGTCGGCGGTCTTTGAATAAAAAATCTCCTATAAGACAGCCCAGTTCGCTATCCCCCTCCCTCGGCATTCCATCTCTCGGTTGAGTTCTTTTCCACGTACATCGCCTGTTTTTCAGAACGAAAATGAACCCAAACTTCCCTACCGGCTTCCCTATGGCAGCCCAAATACCCCCGGAACAGCAACTATACCTGTTCCAGCTGATGCAGCAGCAGCAACAGCAGCAGCAACAACAGCAGCAGCAACAACAACACCAACAACAACAGCAACCACAGCAGCAGCAGCAGCAACGACCTGCCTTTATGCCACCTTCCACTCTTCAGATGCGTCCGCCTCAAGGTGTCGCTCCCATTCAGCAGCAGTTCCCATCCCACCTTCAACCTCAGGCCGTATACGCCCAGCAAGCGCTACTATTTCAGCAGCAGCAGGCTCAAGCTCAGGCTCAGGCCCAAGCTCAGGCACAAGCTCAGCAACTTATGCACGTCCAGCAAAGTCATCATCTACCGCCTCAATCACAATCCGTTCAGCAACAGTTGGCCAGACAGCCAGCCGCTCAAGCAGTGCAACCTCAACAAGTCCGCTTGGGTGGCCCTTTAGAACTAGCTGCTCAATTGGGTCTTCCAGCCAGACCACAACAAAAGACGCTACAGCAGGCTTCCCAACAACAAGCGCAGACACCAAAGGTGGTTCAGCAGCAACCCTCCCAGGCACAACCCAAAGCCCAGCCACAGACTTTGCAAGGACTTCAAGTCGGGGATTGGAGGCTCACAGCCGCCGCAAACTTCAGGAAAGAATATATTGATAGACTGTAAGTGACCAACTTTCGACCGCGCAATGTTCATGTCTAATGCGAAGTAACAATGTCCTTTGACGGTTACATCTAGTATTCATGCTGTGTCTCAGCTGCAATCAGCAAAAGTTCAGTCTGCTGAAAGAGTTGAGGCCATGGCCAGCGATTATGAAACAAGAGTATTTCGCAGAGCTTTTACCAAGGTAATGTATGCTCTCATCCAAATGATACGAGATTGCGTAAGCTGATGGATTTCCACCCCCCCCCCCCCCTTGAATAGGACGAATATGTGAATGCCATGAATCAAAAAATCAACGAGATTCTGAGTAACCACAATGTCAAGTCAGTCGGCATTAATACCCCGTCCCAGCCAGCGTCTTCTACGTCAATGATGTCTACACCACTTGTTCCGCCATCAACCACCGCCCTCCCTAACACGAGTGCGGCGGGTCAGCAGCAGTTGAGCCAACCGTTTGGTGATCCGAAACTGATGCACCTCGTCAACACCAGCACTTTGGCACAGCTAAGGGAACTCTGCCGTCAGCGCAACATTCCTCCTGAATTCACCGAACGACTGCTGCAAAAGAAGGCCGAACAGGAAAGGTCACGGGCCGCAATGCGGCCCGTGATCCAACCTGAAGGCAATGTCCAGCGCCCTCCAGTTCCTACGCCTAGTGCAGTTCAGACCCCAGCGGCGCATCAACAGCAGCAACAAAGGCAGCAGCAAGTGCAGATGCAACAGCAGCCGCAGCGCCTTCAGCTAAAACACCAACAACACCAACAACAACACCAACAACAACACCAACAACAACACCAACAACAACAGCAGCAGCAGCAGCAGCAGCATCAACAGCAACAACAGCAACAGCAACAGCAACAGCAACAGCACCAACAACGGGTGCAGCTGCATCAACAACAGATGCGACAAGCCTCTGAGGCTCAAGCGCAGGCGCAAATGGTGGCCGCGCAGAGGGCGCAAGCATTGAGCAATTCTGCATCCGCCCAGCTGCAAAGAGGAGCTGCTTCTTCTGGAGCATCGCTGCAACCCCAGTTGTCCAATGCCGCAACCCATCCGTTTCCAGGCAATCAAGTCCACTTGGCCGCAGGTATGGCCGGTTCGAGTGCCATCTCCAGCGCTTTGCCAAACATCAGCATGGCGGCCGTGTCCTCTGCGGCATCTCCACCGACTTCCGCTAGACAAGGAGCCAGTGCACCGTCGGCGACCATGGCTGGAACTCCGCAGATTGCCGCAGAAAGTTGCCGCATGGAACCAATCGCCTTAACAGAACAAGAGAAGGCTTTCGTGCGTTCCAAATTGGAAGCTCAGGACAACATGTACCGAAAGGCAGATACCTTGATTGGACTGTTTGCTACCCATGGTAAAAACATGGAGGCAAAACGCTCCCTGCAACTGAAAGCAATGTGGACCAGACAGTTGGACGGATTCGTTACGGACACATATTACCTGACGCCAGCAAATGCTGAGCTTTTGTTGCAAAACTTGCGGCGCTTGTATCAAAGCGGAGAAACTCTGCGAAAGTCGATTGACATGCAGCGGTCGGCTCAGCAGATCTCGAACGCTAATGTTGGCCAGTCACATAGCCAGCTTTCAACATCACCGCACCAACCACAGTCGCAGCAACAGCACATTCAAGCCACCAGACCTCCTCAGATGCGGGCTAGCCCTCAGAAGAGGACAAGTGCGTCACAGCGGCCACCAGACGTTCCCTCTGTCATAGCAGCTACTCTACCTCACTCCCTCCCTCCCACCCTACCTCCTACGCTCCCGCGCTCCGTTGCTCCTGTCCTTCCTGCCGCTATGCTTTCTGCCATGACTGCGGCTATCCCACCTCCTGTACCTGCCGCGATGCTTCCTGCGGCGTCTCCGAGCATTCAAGTATCGCAGGCAATGCATCCCCCTATGGAAATGGGCGGTTCGTCTATTGGACAGGGCACTGGGTCCCAAAAGCGCCGTGCATCTATTTCAAGCCAGAGCGGCAAAAAGACACGGCAAGTTCGGCGGCCGCCAAGTTCTAGCAAGCCTCCGATCCCGACCCAAGCACAACTCCAGGGCTCGACCGCTCCGCTACAGTTACCTACCCGCCCGCCACCTCAACTTGTCAATCCCGGTCATCTGAAAGCCGAGCATCATACAGGGAATATACCCGTCTCTAGGACATCAGTGCCGCAGGTCCCCAATCCGCAAATTCAACCGGGCACGTCTTCGACGATCGTGCCGCGTATCCCTGCAACTGCCGCGTCTGCATCCCCCCTGCCCATATCTACCGCCGCCCCAACAACTCAGCACCAAACACCTCCTATCGTGCCACCCGCGGTGCCAGCTGCGAACGCCGTAGATAGTACTGCCGCGGTCACTCAACCCCAACAGACCGTCTTGATGGAAGCCAGAGAGCAAGCGCGAGGTGTCTTTGAGAGCAACCTTGGCTTCAGTGGGGATATACCCGACGACTTTGCGATAGATTTCGGAGGCCTGTTTGGTCAAAGCTCCTTGAGTGATGTGTGGAACGGCGTAGGATACAATCGACCATTGCACGGTATCGATCCCATTGGTGCGGAATCAGGTACGTGTTTGAACATTTGTGGCAAAATGGCATGATTTCTAATACCCTCCATCTAGGGGACTTCGAATTATTTTTTGGCGAGTACCACTCTCCTCCCCTCTCTCCATTCAAGAATCAAACTAAACGAAAAAGGGATGGGGAAGAGGAAGAGCAGGAAGATGCTGATGAAGGTCGCGGAGAAGGGAGTAAGCGGCCCAAGATGGGTCCCCCCAGGGAAAGCATAAAGAGGAAGAGGGACGACGAGGATGAGGATGATGACCAGGGACCTAGCAAGCGGCGTCCCCAGGTCTTTGCGTCGCCAGTGGAAATGAATTCATCGCTTGTTTTTTAAATTCAAATTCTGCATAATGTTTAAAGAATAGAAGTGTGTCACTATAAGTTAATATCGCGCTTTGCGAGCTCTGTTCTGCGTTTGCCTATTTGATATTGGTCTGTTCAATTCCTGCAATCACGTTTTTAGAAACTACCGCCAAAGAAGTAGAGCACAGTGAATGAAGAGAATCCGAATCCACTGCCCGGTGCAGTATCAGCATCTTGATAAACATCTGATGCAGTAGTCTTTGTTCATAATTTGTCTTTTGTTCTTTAAAAGCATAAATGGGGCAGATAACAATAAAAGTGACACGAACGATATCTGGCTAGTTTCTGTGAATACTGCCCTTACTTGCCATTTTAAACTTTTTCTTCCATTTCCTTCACGGACGAATGCACTTTGAAGTCAAAATGTGATGACTTTTAAGTACTTTTGACAGTATCTGGCAAGAATGAACAGCAGGGGATCGATCATGCGTCTGCACCTTCCTTTGACATTACCTGTCCCTAAAATGTAGAAGAAAAGAATCCATGCTGCGTGCAGCAGGCACGATCATGAAAGCCATACAAAAAAAAACGTTGGGGAACGAACACTATCGTGAAAGGATCCCACCTGAACACCGGTCACATGAAAGTCATGTGATCTCCCATGTAAAGTACTTAAGTGCTGTGTCTTTTGTATTTGCCACCTTTTCACATTATTTTCACAATGGACACCGATATTGAAGATATTGTTGCTGGTATGCCAGGGGCCTCTCGGGAGACTCTGCGCAAGATGCTAGCACTGCTGCGACAGGATGCAAAGGTTACTTACTACCCATTCTCAGTGTCTCCTCCAAACTCTCCACTTATTGTGTCATTTCTCTAGCTGACGCCTTTTACGAAAATGACATGGAATCAGTTGCAGAGTCCGGAGGGACTGAATCTGGATGTGGCCAATGTGGAGGCCGCTGCTCAACGCAGAATCCCTTCTTTGCAAGTCCCACCGTTTGTGGGTTCGGTGCACCCGACAGAGCACCTTACTCGGCAACTTGATAGGTTAGACCGCGTTTGGAGCCTTAATTCAGAGGCAGCATGTCGAACCATTGTTGATGCTATCCTTGGGGAGGCTGTTGACACCTTTTACCATGGGATCATGGTAGATGAACGGCCTCAGGAGGATGCTATGAAGGTGGGCCGGCCTCTAGGAAGATTGCGGGTCTTTTTAGAGGTTGATTTAGAGTGGAGGGGCCCCAACAAAGGGGCGACTGGCATTGTTGATTATCTGCTGGGCCACGGGGGTGGCGATGACGTGGATGACGTTAAAAAAGATTCTTTTTTAATTGCTGTGGAAGCAAAAAAGGAATGGCCTAATTCTGCTATTCCTCAAGCCATTGCTGGAGGTTGGTTCATTATTCTCAAGTGACGCTTTTTTCTTGTACAAAACTTGAAGCTGATGTATGGTCGCAGGTGGCACTCTACTCCGCTACAGGCAAAAATACGGCCGGTCGGGACCTGTCTTTGTCATCCTGACAAATGCCACTCTTTGGAATTTTTATTGCATCGATGATGCGGGGGTAGTGTATGGCTCAGGACCTGACATTGTGTACAGTAAGGAGACTCTCCCTACTATCTTACGCTGGTTGAGATGGTTTATAATGGGTGCAGCCGTCACCTCCCCCCGTGCATCGACGGTGAATATGACAGAGGAAGAAAAGGCGCTTGTGGTGACCAGTCTGAGTACAAGTTGTCTTAAGTTGTGGCAGGAAGGGAAGAGTGTGATGTAAATAGTGTGTGTAGCCTATTATGGGCAACAATGTGCAGTCTGTGGCCAATTATGATAATGTATTACTGCTTTCTTCCACACGTATTCCATTGCGTTCCGGCATCTTGTTATGCGTCAATGAAGGACATCAATTAAACATTTGCTTAAATATTTGAATTTTATCTGAAAAAAATCTGTTCCATATATACAGTACAAAGGATGGTTACTCATTATTCACTCAACTGACACAACAGTGCAACACCCTTTGAAATCCAGTAATCTTGCGGTCGATCGGACGGAATCGAGAGAGCCACGACAAAATTGGTGGAATGGCCTGTGGTGCTGAGTGTGCCGGCTCGGGCGGATGTTTTGTAGAGGGGACAGGTATAGAACCCGGTGGTTGGAGATGGGGCGGTAGTAGGAGTGAAGCGGATTTGAGGCATGGTCTATGGGGAAGGTCAGCGAATGCGAGACTAACAAAATAGATAAAAACATGCAACATACCGAAAACATTTCCATGGGAAACGAATCTTGCAATAGTCTCTTTTCCCTATCCCATCTTGCCCCCTCCACAAACAATCCGTGAACGAGCACACCCTCTCCCTCCTCAAAAGCCCGTCCATCCCCACCTTCGTAATCCGAAACCTTGTACGAAAAGCTCAGAGCGTCAATCGGAATATTGTACTTGCGCGCATGGTTCTGTAATACGCCCGTTAAAAATCCTTGTGGGAAAAAGAAACCTGGTAGCCAAAAGGAAGTGGGTTCGCCTTGGGTCATCCAGTTTCGGAGGAAGGTGATTCGGGCGTGGAAATCCTTGACCCAGGATGCGAGCGGTTTAAGGGAGGGGTAGGCGTGGGCGGACCAAGCAGTTGGCACCTGCATTGAATGCGTTAGTTCAAGTAAAAACAAAGACAAATGAAAAGAATGCAAACCTCATTATTGAGCAAACTCTTATAGACCAACTCCAATTCCAAACTCATGACAACAAGACCTTTGACAGCCTTTACCAAATTCTCCAACGAACTCCTCACGATCCCATTCAATTTATTAAACCGCACAGATTCCTGTGCCAAGACAGTCGACAGCGAATTTAGCATACGGCCGGTTTCATCTTTTTGGAACAAGTTGAGTAGGACGGGGTTCGGGGCTTCGCCAGTAAATGCCGATTGGGGTCGCGCTGATGCGGATTTCGGTCTTTTTTCCGTCTCGGGTGGAAGATCAATGACCAGAATCTCTGGCCAATCTTCTAAGATTGCCATCGCTATCCCCGTTACAATGTCTTCGCTAGATGTTCCACCGGCAACAGATGACACCACCCTCGGCTGGACTTCCAACACTGTACGAAGCAACCGGCGCGTTTCTTGGACTTGGAAACTGATATCCGCGTTTTCGTGCATCCCAAAGACAGAAGGCTCCTCCGTAAAAGGCAATCGCTCAATATACGCTCTAAATGATGCTAAATCTCCATCCGGCGGCGCATAGTAGACGCCCGAGGGCGAAAACCTGTACCCATCGTCCAAAATCGCAGGGCAATAAAATCGATTCAAAATCGATCTCAGTGTCCGTCGATCCCAATCATCTGTCACTCTGCCTCCAAAAGTGATCTCCCCAGTCAGGTATGACAGAGCTTCCCAGGGTATCCCTCGATGCTCCGACAACATGTTTTTCAAGATGGCAATCGAAACTTCTAAATCCGAATTTGACCAGTCGTATAAAATGTTCCATCCCAGTGGCCCAAACTTTTTGCGTTCATGAATAACAGCATTGAAGAATGTGATTCCAAACAAAAGTTTCCGGAACTTGACTCCTTGCGGTGGACTATCATCAAACAAATCTCTCGACACATCTGCAAAGCTTCTTGCGAGGTTTGCCCGAAGACCTTTTGGTGGTTCGTTGGTCACTTTTACACCATCTTGGAGTACGGCAATCGGAAACACTTTCGAAGGCATCGACGATAAAAACATCCGGAAATTCTCATGAATATCCGTTGCGTCCGTACTGGAGAACTCTTTGACAATACTCTCTAACCGTCCCATCCACGAAGCTGCCAAATGACAATTCTGCAAAAACACCCAATCCCCATTCGTAATAGCCTTTCGCAGCAATTGCTCGGCAATAGGTCCCTGCCCCTGTCCCAATGAAATCATGTGCAATCGGTCCTGCATATTAACCTCCTTTGAGGCGGCGAATTTCATCAAAGCGGACACAGGGTCCGACCCCGTTGACAGGATAAAGATGAATGGGGTACGGTTGTTGATATCCTTGAATGCAACCGCGAGGTCGAGGGGCGGAATATCAATAAACTCGGAGCCCAGGTTTCGCTTGACAAATTCCACGCAAGCCGAAACGAGTTTCTCTTCTCTCAATACCTTGATGAGCAGCAGTCGCTGGAAATCTGTTAATTGCCCTGTGTCGTCGCCAGGGACAGACACACTGTATGGTGTATCCGACTCAACAATGGCCTCCCAGTCCATCGTATACATTTGCACATGCTCAATAGCGTACCCAAAATCGGGTATCGACCTCGCTAAATCGCATAGATTCTCCCACATTGTATTGGATAGCCAGCGGACGTTGGGCTTTGGTGGAATATCCCCGGCAACCATCAACGCACCACCACCCCGCAACAAGAAATTCCACTCAAAATCATCAATGGCTCCCTTTTCCCGCAAAATCTCGACGCAAATCATGAACGCGTAAATCATCTTGTGCTGTTCAAATAGCCCGCGCGAGACATTTGCAAAGGTATTATATGTTGCATTTTTGCATAGAATCCCGATTCGCGTTGGGAGGTCCTCGGATTTCTCCGAAGAGAGGATGCAACCGCTAAATAGGTTCTTGAAATACTTCAGCGAGAACTGGTACATGGGATCGATGCCGGCCAAGTCTGCGACAACAAAGTAGAGCACCGAACCCCTAATTGCAACGGGTCGGTACTTTTCTCGGGCAGTGTTGATCTCCCGCTCCGTGACTTCGGCTTGTGCGACTCGCTCTTTGATGGCCGCGGACGTGACTTTGGATTGGTTGAGAGTGTTGATGAGTTCTTCATCATCGAGAATGTTCCCCTCAGAGTTGAACAGGAGCTTCAGGATCCGTTCTTCGATGTCTTTAAGAGCTTTGCGGTCTGTAGCAATATTTACGATAAGGTTGTTGCGCTGTTCCTCCAGCTCCGGCCGTTCGAGACGGACGACATCTGCCAAGAGTTGTCCCTCAAGTCCAATCTTTGTCACGGTGAAGTTAATGATAGTGACCTTGATACAGACTTCGGGGAGGTAATGCGGGTTCGAGAGTTTTGTTGTAATGTACAGTTTGAAATTTCGATCGTATTCTACAAATGAATCACCCAACTTCATCAGCAATCTCCCTCCCTGTCGAACGGTCTGCTTCAACAGGAGAGGCTCAAGGGCTGGATCAAGCTGCTCGCCAACATCTTCCATGAGAACAGGCTGTCCCGTTCTCACGGCATTTTCAAGGGATCGGAGAAACTTTGGTTCGGACAGTTTGATCACCTTGAGGTCGTTTCCTTCCATGGCGCGTATCCATCGATTTGCTTGTCCTTGTGGATCAATCATGAGCGGCCATCGTCGACCCCGAGTGACGAGGATACCATTTTCAACCGAGAGAGGGTCGGCTGGGAGTCCTTGAATATTCCAGTCGCGGACGACAGCTGGATCAGCGAGGTTCTCCAATAGATTGAAGTTTGTTGAGACGGGGATGCCAATCTCTTGACATCGCTTGATCCACCCTGTGACAAGCTCAGTACGGAAGGTAGATGTAAAGGCGCCAAAGTAAGCAACACACGCCGCACTAAGAAAAATATTCCCGACCAAATCATCTATTTGCTGATTGAGTTTTTCAACAGATTCGGCCCACCGAATCTGTTCATCGGCCAAAGCCGTCGTCAATTTTCCAGCACGAGCCAACCGACGCGTTGTTTCCTCCATTTTTTCTGCAAGTTCCTTTTTGCTCGCGATGGATTCTTCGTATTTGGCTTTGAGTTTCTCCAGCTGGGATTCGACTTCTTGAAGAGCTGCCGCTTTTTCTGCCAATTTAGCCCGCGTGGCATCCAAAGCTGCTTGCGCTTCTTCTAGCCGCCGTCGCTTAGGCGTTACTTCCTTGAACACTCTGGAATATAGGTCCATGGCAATCACCCACATAGACATGCTTTTACACGCTTTGGACACCTTTTCGACGGCCTCGGGAGTGAAATTGGGGTTTTCGATGTACTTTTTGAGCTTTTTGGACACCGACTCGGGAATATTGTCCTTGTCATATTCCTGCAACTTTTTCATGAATTGCGGGTCCGATAAGAGCTTTTTGGAGCTTTCCCAATCGGGTTTCACTTTGAAGAGCGTGCAAATAGCTTCCATGACCATTAAGACCACCTCGGGAGGTTTGGTAAAAACCTTGAGCTCAGCAATATCCTTTTTGTCTAGTGAGTCCAATGCCTTGTACGCCGCATTGAGAGCTGGCAACGCTTCGTCCAAATCGCGCTGGGCTTCTGCGGCGATGGCTTCTGTTTCGGTCGCCTTGGCCCGGACTATGGTTTCCTCTTCCGATACTACTTTCCGGACACCGTCGGCTGTTTCTTGATCTTTTCCAATCTTCACCATGAGCGCCTCCGTATCCGCAGCCCGTTGTTTTAGCTCTGGGCCGAGGAGTTCAAGTTCGACTTGCATTTTCGCGACGAGCTCATTGGTTTCGAGGAGTTTATTTAGACCGTTTCGTAACCTATCCCGTGAGGACCCAAGTTCCTTCCTCTTTTCTTGCAACATGGCAATGTAGAGGTTGATGAGTTCCAGGTAGGACGTGGGGGTGGTGTAATACCGTCTCCTGAGTTCAGCCCAAAATCGTTTCGCAAGCTCTCCAACGGACTCGTGGATCTCGACACACATTTCAGCAATCTTTTCTTTCATATGGTCTGAGCCCAAATCCACGAACTCCAGAAACCGTTTCGACACTGAGAGGAGAGCCTCTCTGGGCCACTCATCAAACCAGTCGATCGTACAGCAGTTGACAAGGGAAGGGAACATCCTGCAACGTGTCCGAAAGGTTTCTCCGACAGGACTTGTCGCAAATACAATGTGGAGGTTATCCCTCACCCTGTTGATGAAGAACTGATATACACTGTCTCGGTCTTCGGGTAAGCCCTTATCTCTTGCTACAGCCCGCAGTTCACCCAAAATCTTTTCACGCTCGTCAAACTCAAAGAGGTTCGGGACTTCCCCCGAGTTTAAAATGTTGTTCACATCCTCCAAGAAGGTTTCGCTCTTGATTTGGGTGTCTGAGAGAAGGAATACAGTGTTTTTACCTTCCAAACCTGCTAATCGGTACAATTTCTTAAGATCTTCTCGCCACTCTGTTTGTCCGTACGTCCTCGTCAATTCAATTTGAATGCACTGGTAATCGGATATGTGACAGGCCAACCGGGTCAGAGATTGTTTTCCCGTTCCACCGACACCGACCAGCAAAGCGTTGCCGCGAGGTTGCCGGATGATACGGGATATCCTCGTAATATGCTGCTTGGCGTCCATGAAAAAGATCAAGCGAACGTCTTTGTTGTTTGTCACGTTGTATTCTTCTAGATACTCTTCCAACAGCGTGTTCATGGCCTTCATGTCGCTCATCTCAACGTAGAGTCGCTCTTCGGGGGGAACACCCCTCTTGCCAAAATCCCCAAACATGATTGGTTTCTGGCTAAAAGTTTCTTTGGGTATGCTCACGCCAAAGTTCTTTTCAACCAGTTCGGAGAGAAGGCGATTAAAGTAGGATCTATCCGCCTCGTCAATCAACCTATCGTGAAAGATCCGGGAGGACTCGTGACAAAACAGCTTCACAATGTCCATCTTGGCTTGAATAACCTGCGGACGGGCCTGTAGCACGCCCTGAACGACCCTCGATAGATCCCGGAGATTGAACGTGTAATGCGATTTAGCGGGTGTAGGCAGTAACTCTGTGCACATTCGATGGTAGATCTCTATGGACGAGTTCACAATGGCTTCACTCACACCTCGCACTTCAGATGAGAAGCCGGACTTGAGAAATCCTTCCACAATAGATCGGAATATTTTTCCTAATGACATTTCGCTAGGCGCGGGAATGTTGAATAGATTGAAGTGACGGAGAAGACGGGGTGTGACGTTGTTGCGCCCGCCTCCAGGAGGTGCACAAGCAGCCACTAGTTCTACATCTTGGATTATTTTCCAGCTGAGTTTCTCTCGGTCGTAAAATCCGTGGAAATCAATGTACTGCCGCAAGAGCTCGATAGGAGGCTGCGACCCGTAGGTGTCGAGCTTGGGCATGTTCAAATCATCCACAAACAGGACAACCTTGTTCGCTCCTGTGGGTGCACCCAAAATATTCTTTCGTTTCTTCTCCAACTTAATTTCCATAATCTGCTGCGTCTGGGCGCTGTTGGTTTGGGCAGAAAAGTTGAGCGTCACAGGGACCCATCCGAATCGTTTCGAGCACCTGTTCAATAAATTTTGGACAATAATGGATTTACCAACACCGGTGTTACCCGTGAACAAAGTCGGGTATCCATTCGACAAGAGGGCTTCGAGAAAGTACTCGTACTTGACTGTATCCGTCGTTGGGACCATCATTTGGAAATAAGGGATCTCGGGTGCGTACTTGAAGGCTGGCACCAGGTCATCCCAAAGGGCAAATGATTTGGTCTTGAGGTCGACATAGTAACAAAAGATGTTGTTGGAAGACGGTAACTGTACATCCGGAATTGGGATTGCGTCGAAATGGTCTCGGACAAACGTATCAAAGTTGTCCTGGAATCCATCTGCCAGGTTTCCACCCAAGGCCCATACATAGCAGAATACAAACAAATGGCCGAATAAGCACTTCAAATCTCCAATGGCCTGCGAAAAATCGACCTCCTTTTTGTTGATGAAGGTTTGTAGAAGCTTGCACAGAGACTGCACCAGATTCAGGTCGACAGATTTGACGTACTCCGTACACTGTTTTCGTACAAAGCGGAGTCCCCTGTCAATGTACGTGTCACAGTAACTCCACAACATATCCTTGAGCTCTGTTCCAACATGTTCCGGTAGCTCACGCAGCCACTTTTGAACAAAAGCCCGCCAGCCCAGGTTGGTAGGATCCATGTATACCATGCCGCATCGACTGACCGTGGCAGGAGACGCAACAGCCAAATCCGCCACTTCAAACAACATATGCATAGTATTATTCATCTTGATTCGTTCTCCGTTGATCAACGTGAGGAGCTTATTGTCGTCTAGGACAGTGTTCATGTTCTCAATCCAAAGTGCGTCTACGGGTCCGTCGCAAACGGTCCACTTTTCATCAGCACTGTTGTCCTGAACTTGTTGACGGAAAATGGAACCGATCAGACCGTCTTTCCATTCCATGGTGGCCAGATTGAATTCTCCGTAGAGTTCGTTCATTGTGATGCACTGTTATATGGTATGAAAATATGACATATGGACTTGGAACTACGACATGATCATACCTTTGGATTAAGAACCCAAGTCTTGATAGCCTGGAACTGTACATCTCCTCTCTCCTGCAATCTAGTACAAGCTTCCTGCAAGACCTGATAACATGTCGTCTTTCCACCTCCAGTGGGTCCAACAAGCATAACACCATGCCGAATCTTATTCGTTTCAAACAACTGGCAGATTCTCGTCACAAAGTTGTCCACAACCTCCAACTTCTTTTCAATCATCACTTCCTTGATCGTTGCGACTAGAGCACCGTAATCCTGCTCCACGATGGAGACACCTGGGAAGAGATCAGAAAGGATACCACGGAACAAGCCAATATCCTCAGCCAAGAATTTGGGAAGATTTGAATCCCGCAGTGCACGGATGAGAACCATTTCTTCGCTGAGTTCTGGGTTGGTACGCTTGAGGGCGCCCGCCATGATGAGCACGGATTTGACGGCTCGCATGCCGAAATCGTAATGATCCTGCTGGGAGAGTTGTTCAGAGCAGAGTTTGTAGAGGTTTACAACTTTTCCGGCAAGAACTCGCGCATTTTCAAATCCTTCCGAGAAGAGCAAGATTTCGGCAATAAGGCCGTAATCTGTCAGGAGGGAGCCGCAGATTAGCACTTGATGCTTCACCTTATAACCAGACATGATAAATATACCAGGAATCATCATTGCAATAGGTCTGAAAAGCGCCTTCAAGTTGTCCGGTAACTCTTGACGTCCGGCATACCCAGGATTCATAGTGATAAATGCTGTACAAGTGTCGATTAATCTGATCTCCCTTCCCTCGAACATAAACCTGGTCGCTTTCATATCCTTTGCATTCTTTATTGTCAAAAGCTGCTGAGCAATAACGGAGAGCACCTCGATATCGATACGGTTGAACTCATCAAAACAACACCAAGCACCGGACTGAGCCAATC